CATACATGTTAAACAGATCAGAGGTTGATATAATACATAATAAAATAGGATTTTACTTATACTACAAAAGAGTTAACACCCTAGATTAGACAATTAAAGGTCACTCATTTAAATTTAAACATTTTTAAAAAGGCAGTCTCTAAAATATCTTGCTAAAGAGAACATATTAAGATAATTAGCCTTTTCTTGTTGGCTCAAAGGGATGGCTATGAATATCAATAACATTATTATGTCATATGCAGTGATATACTCTGGGACAGTTGAGAGGTATAGGGTTACTTGACCTGATAGTCAAGAGTCCCAGATTATTATTTTCTGGGTTTTCTGACAGATACCTAAAAACAATGTATACCACAATAAAGAGAAAGCATAAGAACCAAGAAATGATAGGGTTTGAGGAAGGCATAATTATTAAAGTGAGTATATTTAATAGTATGAGGCAATTACAAGGTCAATATTTTAGATTTTTTATATACTCACAAGTGATAATTAGAGAAGAGAGGGGGAATTAAAGTTCTTTATTATATAAGACTTTACAGTTGCACTCAACTTAAAATACTATGACTCGGTACTCTGTGGACACCATGATGGAAAAATAGGAGCCTTATTCCCCATACTGAGAATGGTAAAATACTTGAAAAACCATGCAGTGAAAGACCCCTTCACTTAAAAGAAGAGTCTGACTGGATTACTTGTTCCAAGATAAATAATAATATTTAACATTTAAACTCAATACTCTATAAAGCTCTTAACATATTTTAACTAGTTAAAATAATAACAGTACCTACCCCATTCCTATGAGGTAGGTACTGTTATTATCTCCATTTTCCTGTTGAGGAAACTTGAAGCACAGATTGATAACAGTGAGTAAATTTCAGGGCCAAGGTTAGAATCTAGGCAGTATGACATCAAAACCATGTTCTTAATCACTATTCTATACTACCTCTATTATAGCAAATTGTTGAACCTAATGTTTTAGACCTAAAAGAAGTAAAAATTCCTCTTGAATACCTATATTCTTTAGTAATTTATATAAAATGCATAACCACCAGTGTTTCTTTCTCATTCATTTCACATATTACAAAATTTTCAGGCCTACTTGAGGCACTGGGAAGTATATTTTCCCTGTTTATCTAAATGCTCACAGAATGATAACAATAGTAAATATATATATAGAAATTTACCCTCAAAGTAAAAAGAAAATGTATAGAAATTTACCCTCAAAGTAAAAAGGTCCTTTAAAATGACAGAAATTCATGTATTTCTCCATTTACATAAACAATTATGGATGATTTAAAAATCCAAATGTCATGGCCCTTGAATATTGGAGTCTGTTCTTAGTACTACAGCACCACCTTAGATTAGTGTTATTCTGCTGGTAAAGGCTCTAATGGTGGGTTTTAATAAAATTTATTAGACACAAACTGGAAGATTACTTTTTTATGGAAATGGAAGTGATCAGATGTATTCCACAGTAAAGGTTAATATTGTTTTAAAGAACTCTGTTTTCAGAACTGGATGGATAAACGTATGGATGTTTATTTTTTTGAAAATCGGTCAGAATAGTTGGAAGAGGACCATCTCACAACTTCATGAGTTCTTACTTCAGCCATTCCCTGCATTCTGAGACTGCTGCTAATTCTCTTGGTTTTACTCTTTATTTATAAATCTTTATTTTCAGTTCAAATTCAGCATGACCAAAATTCAATAGGACTGAAGTTGTAATCTTACCTGCCTCCTTCTCTTAATGTATTTTTCTTCTGTGTTCTCATCCTTGGATAAAACTCTTCAGTGGTTTTCCCTATAAAACAGAGTAGAGACTCCACACTCCTTAGAGTGGTTGGCATTACCCTTCTTAGCCTGACTCTACTTTAGCAAGTCTTGTTCCTTCTATGCTCCTGCAAACCCACTCTGCCTTAGCTTAATCTACATGTGGTTTTCTGAACATGCCATTCACACTCACTTCTTGCTGCCACAAATTCTCTTTTCTTTCTATCTACTAGGCTTATCTTTTAAGACTTGTTGATTTATAACAGCTTTATGAGGTAAATATTATCTCCCCATTTTTCAGATGGGAAAATTGAGACTTAGAAAGTTTACTTTGCCCAAGAACTGATCAAATTCCTCTATTGGGAATTAGAAATTGGGAAAATGAATCAGTTCCTAAGAGAAAAGTTTTATTATAGATGTACAATAGAGAGACTCAGTTTATAATGAAGAAGTTTTATTATTATTTTTTTTTATTGTAGAGGAAGGTCAGGAAGAGGTATGAGGTAACAGAAAAGAAATATTGAATGTGATAAGTAGAAGCACCAAGTGAGGGAGAGAGGATAAGTGCTCCCTTGGTGTCTAGACCTTTTTGTTCTTGTGTCGATAATTATTGTAAGAATTTTTTTGTAAGAGATAATTGTAAGAGATTTTCTTTCTCTGGAGTTCATTTGTAGTGATTTTTTGTTCTTGGCAACCCAAAAGGCAAAAGTAAAGCAGAGATGTGTATTCGGCATATATTTGCTAAAGCAGAGGTGTATATTTGCGTACATTTGCTAACTTTGTCTCAACTAAGTAGTGGAAATATTCAGTGAAAAAGTGATTGTATTCTACAGGTTTCTTTATGAATTTAATTGCAATCTAGAAAATGGTTTCTTATGAAAATAATTATAAATGATTTTTTTTTCTTTGGGTTAGATCATAAATGTTGAGTTAACCTATCAGGTTGAACTACTGAATATTATCATGAAATAAAAATAGCACCATCGAAATAGGATTATTAAAGCAAAATAAATAATTCAAATTAAGACTAAAATAGTTTTTCTCAATTGCTGATGCTTGAAGGGAAGGTAGTAGATATAAATTTGCATTTTAGCTGTTTCATATTTATTTAAAATGTCTGTATCAAAAATGTTTAGTGTCCATGATAGATTATTTGTTATGGGTTCAAAACTATAATACAGTTAATAGAGGTAGGGATAACGTCTTTGGGCAGTAAATTTAAAGAAGAAGGAACATGGTATATGACCCTCTCCTCCATTAAAAGCAGGCAGGACCAAATTTCCTTTGTTCAGCAGTTCTCAAACTTTTTGGTCTATGGACCTCTTTATACTCTTAAAAATTATTTTGGAGTCCAGCGAGCTTCTGTGGTGTTATATGTATTGATATTTTTTCATTTGAAATTAAAAATGAGAAATCTTAAATATACAAGCATACATTCCATTAGTGATCAGAATGATGATGTTATCACAGGTCATATAGTTTCTAAAAAAATGCTACTGAATAATCAGAAAATGAGTGGAAAAGGCAATTAACATATTAGTATTATTATTAAAATAATTTCGACTTGCAGACACCTTCAACAGGTCCTGGTGAAATTACCTGAACCAAACTTTTGAAAATTTCTCCTGTAGTTAAAATACAACTTCTGTTTTGAAACTTTATATTTTAATGTGAGAAGTCTAAACCATAGTCTTAGGGATTCATACATTTTAAGTGAACTCATCTCTCTTAAGTTTGGACTTATTTCCACAGTGGAAGAAAGCAGTTTGACTTGTCTGTTTGCAATTAGTCTTAAATTGGGAGACCAAAATATGGAGGGGGAAAAAAAAAAAAGGAATGAGTAGAATGAGTGTGCGTGCGTGGGTGTGTGCGTGTGTGCGTGTGTGTGTGTGTGTGTGTGTGTGTGTGTGTGGGAAGTGGTCTGTGAAATGAATTGATACTAGAAATGTGTTCTAGGTGGCTCATCTACTCGTGGTCATTTTGCTCTCTGTTTTTAGCCATACATTATAGTTCAATTTATGGCTGTTATTTGAGCCCTATACCAGGTTATTTTGAGACCACTGTTAGTAAAGGGACTGTGTTTTGAAGCATGCTTATATATAAGAGAATCTCAAGATCTTTCTGAGCCTTAGGAAGAGTGTTTATATTAAGACTTAAACATTTTGTGTTGTTACTCATATTTTCTGTATCTGAACCAGACACTTGAATGTAATTGTGAAGCTGTACAATTTTATGTACAAATATTTTTTGAAAATGGTTTTACTTGCAGCTTTATTTGTTAGGTACTCTCTAAAGTGATTTGCATTCACTTTAGAGAGTACCTAACATTGAGTTACATGTTAATTTAGTTGTGACATTTTTTGCTTAAGGAAATTCCGAGGCTTTATATATATATATATGGAAAAGTTAGTTTGAACTATGAATTATCACTGATTTGTCTTTCAGCATAAGTTTTTCTTAAAAATAAAGCATATCTATATATGAGTTCCAAAGGTTACAATATAGAAAAAAGTACTAGTGTATATATAAGGAATAGGTTAATATCTAAACAGATATTTTGTATTAAAATATGCCACAAGGAACAAACATCCTATTCCTTTTAAAGTATTATTTAAATATAGTAAAAATCACTTAAAAATAGCGAATGTATTTTTTAAATGGTTAAATTAAGTTTAAGGGTTTGATGAGGAAAATTATTATCTTAAAGTTGTTTTGTTAGAAGAAAATTTTCAGGTTTTGCATTTATACTTATATTTTTTAAGTATCATAATTTTCCAAGGCTTCTCTCAGGCCAAAGCAATGATAAGCTAATTCACTTTTTTAAAAGGGTTAATTTGAAAGTGATTATTTTCTCAGGCTAAAGACTCATTTAGAGAAGCTTATAAAACTTAACAGAGTAGTCATGAAGCAATATGTATTTATAACTTTCATTTTGAGATTTGTTTGAAATAGTTATTTGATAAACCAAAGGTGAACCCTCCACTCACCTTTCTGAGAGAAATTACTCTTCAGTTACATTGTATTGATGTGTTCATGGAAGTGTTTTTGACTACTGATGATTTTATATTCCTATAGGGATAATAATTACACTTTATCTCTTTTTTAGTGTGAACTTTTGTTTTTCCTTGGATGTATCAAGTTAGTTACATTGATTACATCTGTATTTTTAGCTAAAGTAGCCTTGGCCAACTGCTTTATTGATTGGTCCAAATTTGTGGCATGTTTTTCAGAAAGTCTTATGATGGGTTGGCGCACAGAAATATCATATTCCAATCACGACATGAGAAATGGTTGGATTGCCTGTCCTACTAGGAGGTATTCTTAAAATTAGTTATCCTGTTATATCTCCCATTAAGAATGAGAAATATTTAGATTTCGTTATTAACAGAATTAAAAATAGTGATAGATATTTATAAATTCATAGAAATTATCATTCTAGGAATTGGTGTACCGAACTTTTTTTGGATTCTAAATTATTGATGGTTCTCTTTAATAGAAAATCATGTCTCTTAGTAAATAATTATTAACCTACTACATTTATACTGATAACCGATAAACATTTTCGAGGAATAATGAAGTTTTATTACAATCAATACAAAAATAAGTGTTATTTTTCCAGTATTAGGTCTTTTTCTTAAGGCTAGATCTATGGTACTGCAACTAAAAAATGTGAAATTTACCACAGTTAATTTCAGTTGCATTCACATAGTCGTTTACATAGTATTTATAATTTTGCCCATTGAAATGTAACTTCAAGTGCTGCATAAGAAAGATGTAAGAAACTGGCAGCATAGACAAGCTGCAGTAATTGTGTGCTAAAAGAAATTAGTAAAATTACTGGCTTAGAATTGTTTTGCAATTCAAATAGTGCCAAAAGTTCTCCCTGAAAACATGGCTTGTTTTATTTTTACAATTCCCTTTATTAATATGCATTTTTAAAGCTCTCAAACTTATTCTTAATTTTTATCACATAGTTCATCTATATAAATATGTACCCTCTTCATATTAAGACTGAGTATAGAAAACTGAGAACAAAGTAGAACTAAAGGTCACAGAATTAATAAGTGGTGGAAATAACAGAATTCAGAGATACCTCAGTTTTATCTGTACCTTTTCTTAAGTTCAGTAGTCTCAAAAACTGCAGAGCTATAATTAAAATGCTATAGTGGTTACTCTGAATCAATTTCATTACATAAAAAATGTAGTAGGTGTGTTACTTTTTATTATGTTCGTGTATATGTATACTTTGCTATGTAATTATAGACCATCTTTGAAGCTATTTAAAGCTATCAACATATGTACACATTCTTTAATATTCATTTTATTTTATTAACTTTAATATTATAAATCATTTGAGTTTTTTTTTAAATTAACAGAACTCTATTCTTTTATATATATATGTATATAAAACAATTCCATGTAGATATTCATTATATAAATTTTAGGTAATAAAAATGTAGCCAGAAATACATTGTTTTCTTCTTTGTTGCCTTTTTTCGTGTGTGTAAAAGAAACTAAGTGAGTTATTTCATACTAAAAATAATTTTTAGGTCTAGAAGCTGCCCTCCAGTTTTTCGCAAATTGCTACTATAGCAAAATAAAACTAAACAATACTTCATAGAATGAATATCTCTTCTGTATATAAAGTGTTGTTAAATATATTTACTGTACAGTTAAAAAATCTCCATATGGAGATAAGTAATATAAAAGAAATCTTTTATAGTCATTAATTTTTAACAACTGCTGTATAATATAGTAGATAATTTGGTCAACATGTTTAATTAAAACCATTATCTTTTTGAGGGGGAGCATTTGTTACAATTCCAAAAATTATATGTGGAAAAAAATCACAAATCTATTTTCCTCTAAATTGGGCCACTTTGAACAAGTGGAAGAGAGCGCATGTCTTTGTATAAAGAATTCTTCATTTGAGATCTTTGATATAGCTGAATTAGATTAAAGGATATAGATATGTATAACATATAAAGGATATGTGTGTGTATATATACATATATTTCCTTTCCTGCTATAATTTTTTAAATCAGGTAGAAGGAATTCTTTGGTATCAGTTGAAACTTTTGAAAATTATTTGTTTTCACATCACTGAAATTTTTTGAAACACATATAAATATTAAATTACTTAATCATCAAAACCAGTAATTAGTTTAAAATGTTTAAAAAAAATTCTCAAGTGAGATGCTCATATGTGATCATCTATTTCTGGTTTTAAAAATTATAGATTATACAAACTCAAAACTAATCAGAATTCTCTGTGAGAATGGACACATTCCTTTTGAACTTTAAGAAATTCATTTTCTGAAACTTTTAAGTTTAGGGTCTAACATTTAGGTTCATTTACCCATCATTTCAGATGTTCTGGGAAGAAATATCTAATGATTTTTCCATGACATCTACCCTTTTTTTCAGATTCTGGACTGACATTTTGTCGTGTTATTGTGTTCCACGCTATTTAGTTCCTCCTGGAGCCTTCCGAATTTCACATGCACTGCTTCAATCAGCTCCTGCAGAGCGGATAACTTACCTAGGGACCCAGGCCTTACTGGACAAGCAGCCACTCATGTACAGGGGCAGACTGGCCTTGTTCTTTTTAATTTTAATTTTTTTGCATTTCAGAGTATAGATATTCATTTTAGCAATTTATTGCAAAGTGAAAGCCAGTGAGTTTCCTGTAGGATCTTTATCTAAAATGGAAGGATTATGTAGAAATGAGCCTACCTGCTGGTTTTTCTTTCTTTTCTCAATAATATTTACATGTGACAAGTATTTTCCTATCTCTAAAAACTGAATATGCCTTTGTTTTCTAGTGCGTATTTCTGCAATGTAAACCTGCTTGTATATATATTAAAAGAACCGTTTGAAACCGTTTCTGTGTATGCACAAAATATGCATTGATGGTATTTTGTGTGGGGATAAGAACCTCATGTTTACTAAGGAAGTAGAGGAAGGGAATTTACTTTAGGAGCTTCAAATTAGTTGCAAATTAGGAATTTATTTTGTATGTCATAAAAATGCAACTCTTTCATCTAGTTTAAAAGAAAAACGAGATTTTGGAAGAATCTTGACTAAATAACTTTAAAAGTATTAAAGAATTTTAAAAGACTGTTATAAATCAGACTGCCTTATAATAGGAACAGAAATTTGGGGCTACTTTTTTACATGTGTACTTACTAAAATTATATGTTAATACTGGAAGTTAGATAATAGAGGAAAAGTACAATTTTGTATTATAATGTAATATCGGCACTATATAAAACTGACAGTTAATTTTAAGTATTGTTATTTAGATCAGTGAGGCAGAATTTCAATGTAGATATGGAAGAAAAGGCTCCCATTTTATAAATTGCAGAATAAATATATATATTTTGAATGCTGAAGTACTGTTTTTAATTTTCTTATTTCATTTTGAAAACATGTAGAACTAATGTAGGTTTTAATTAATGGTTAATAATGGGACAAATAAGCATGGGTCTGAAAATTAAATCTAATGAATTGAGAATTGTAAGACTTCTGATAATTTAAAATTCTGTATAAGGAAGAGAATATTATCAAGGGATGAACTGTGTTTTTTGTGTTGATCGAGAACTTAGATATTTAAAAAATTATATTTTCTATTATTACAACATTGTTTTCCATCTCTCAGACTGAATTTGAGTTGATTTCTTAGCACCATTAAGCGAAGTAGAAATTGGTGCTATTTAATTTTTATAAAGCAAAACCTAGAATTTTAGGTGCTCCTAGTAAAACTAAAAGCCCATTGCAATTTTTTTTTAGATTTTAGTTTAAACCTATGTCTATCTTGCTTTATTGCTCTCCCTTTGACTAGTAGAGTTAGAAATACCTTTTTCTCTGCACAGATTTTATACAAAAAAGTAATTTTTTTTGGTCTTTTTTTTTTTGTCAGAAGCCAAATAGTGTATGCCTTCTTATTTCACATTAAATAAAAAGAAGACTGTAACTTGACTAGACTAAAGAATTTTGTGTTGGGGCATTTTCTGTCACATAATGCTATATTTTGCAGAATTTCTGTGATACTCACCTAAGAAGGAAAAAATTAGTTATAGATAAATTAAAATTGTGTAATATAAGCCCTACTCAGCAAGAGCGAATTGCTTTATCCAATAAGATGTAACATTGCTTTAGGTTGAGAGTAGCTTACATTTAGAATTAAACCAGACATTGTGTCTTAAGCTGTTTCTACAAATAAAGAATTAAAATGCTATATAAAAGCCTGGATTTTCAAAAAATATACTGATTCTGGTTTAGCTGAATTTCTTAGTTTTTGTTTGTTTTAAAACTCTAACAAAGGATAGAATGTTAAATACTTGGTAAGAATTCTAAAGTATGTGTTAAGCTAGTAAAAATAAATTAGTTATTTCTTACTTTATAATGAACATTGGGATCAATTTTAAAGTTTATTTCTGAATTGCTTAACATATTTTGCAGTACTGAATGTTAATTTTTAAAAGAAATGTTTCAGCAACATTTTAAAAACTGTTTTAGCAGTCTTCTATAAATGAATGGCTAGTCAATATCAGTTTTAGAATTCTTTTGCAAGGTAACCAAAATTATTTTCCTCTGCACTATAGAAACAGTTAAAATAATGTTTATATATTGGATTTTCTGATGTTTGAGTTTTAAAAATTGCTACATAGTCTGAAAATGATTTCGTTGTACTGGAAATGCTTTTGGGATGTTTATTTTTTTATAAATGGAGATTGAGCACCACCTGTTGGTCAAACTAATGTATTTTGTAAATTCAGCAAAAAAAATTCTGTTGTAATGATTACATTCATTGACTATGAAGTTTTATATAATTCTGTCACAATATAGAATTCTAAACATTATATTTCATAAAATTTACCAGAATGCCTTTATTACTGTAGGTTATAAAATGATCAACCTTTACCATTTTTCTTATCTAAGTTTTCCTAACTTTGCTATATACTACCGATTTATAAGTTATCCTTTTTAAGGAAATGAATGTTCTTAACCCTGTATATCTTTATGAAGTTATTACAAGAGGTGATTATTTTATTTGCCTTATATGGAAATTAGCAAATTGAAGAACAGTTAGACAATTTATGTTATTATGTATATGTTAGATTTAATTTTTAAGAAAATCTTTTTTATTTGTTTTTCTTCTTTAATAGCAATTTAAAGTAAAAAAGTAACAGTTGAATTTTTGTATTAAAAACCAATTACTATTTTTTTGCAGTTATTATTTTATAATTTTAGACTTATGTCAAATATTTTATTTGAAATAGTACTTATAACTCAAATAGGCATTAATAAAATAAATTATATTAATTTTAAATTTGTTAATTTCAATAATAAATAATACAAATATTAATAAAATAAACTAATTTCCCCAGAGCAAAGCAAAAAATGTCTGAGGTGGCATTTGATACTCTCAAAGATATTAAAATGTGTTTTCTTTAAGACTAGTTATAGAAGGCAGCTGTGGTACTTCTGCCGATACTGACATCAAAGTGAGTGGTACAGCTGTATCAAAGTCTTAACCCTCATATATTAGTAATGTACAGTAAATAAATTAGTGCTTTTAGATTTTAGGTCATACTTTCTAAGAAGAAATTATTCCATGCTTAGTATTATATGTATTCTTAGTAAGAAAATAGTGTAAATAAGGCTAAAAGAAGCAAGTTTGAGAAACTGACTTGGCATTTCATACCAGAAAGTAATTGATTTTAAAATATGAAATCAAGACTTACAGTATCAGCTATATTAGATTGTTCCGAATCACAAATCATATCCAAATCTCCCTCAACTCCCTTTGCTTTTCTCTGTATTCATTTAATGTCATCTCTTCTTCCTAGTCTTCTAAGCTAGAAACTTTAGACTCAGTCCTTTCATATTTCCTGTCAAATTGAGTTTCTAAGCTTTGGAAATGACTTTCTTCTTTCTTCTTTCGGTACTCCTGCCCAACTTCAGCCTTCCTCATCTCTTTGACTACTCCAGTAGCTTCCTAACTAATGTTATGTTTCCAATCTCTATCCTATTCATTCTGTCATCAATAGCACTGGAAACTTTTGTTTTGTTTTTCCATTAAAACACTTAGCTAGTCATATTAAAAATTCTCCTTTAGCTCTCAATTGTCTATTACACAATCAAATCTAAATTCCTTAGGACTGCATTCACTGGGACCTTATAATCTGGTTGTAATCTACCTTTCTATCCTTTTTCCCTTTCCTACCCTGTGAAACCAGATGTCATCTCCTTTGTGAAGAGTCTCTTTAAAAGTTAATCATACTGATTTAAGATCTCCTAGCAATTGGATTATATTACTAGAAAATGTCTTATTACTAAAAAAGGTTGTTGGTTTATATATGTATAAATAATTAAGAACTCTTTGAAGGCAGTGACTGTTTCTTTGTTTGAACTTTGATTCTAAGTGCAATGAAAGCATAGTTCTTGGTACACAAGAGGCATAAAACTTTAATAGTAGAGAGTATAGGTCTTGGAGCAAGACTGCCTGGGTTCAAATTCCAGCTCTTCTACTTTGCTTACTGGAGCAATGTACTTAATTCTTCAGCCCTAAATGTGTTCATATGTGTAATATGCTCAGAACATTGCCTGGTACACAGTAAATGCTCAATAAATGTTAACAATTATTGTTTTAAAAATAAGCCATTTAAATAATATATTTCTAAATTTGAAAAGTATACAACTTTGAAGCAAAGTTCTTAAAGATAATTTTATTGTAGTAAAATATCAGAATTTAAAATCAATTTTAAATCATTTCTGGAATATTTTAAAACCTTTTATTCAAAATTTTAGAAACTGAGAATTGGTATGTATAGTTTTACTAAGTCCATCCTTCAGAATTAAAAAAAACATGCGCACGTGTGTAGATAACTATATGATATTGTATTAAAATTGTTGCTATATTTTGTTAAAGTAATATCAATAACTATTAACGAAAATGTTTTTTGGAGATACAGAGAATATTGTTAAGTAAATAAAATAAGAGATTTGTACTTATCTTTTTAGGTAGACTTTTGAATTTAAAAAGAAGACCTAGCATAGGCTTTTATTTATTTTTTAAAGATAGGCTGAATATAGTAACATCGCTGAGTTTTAAAGGACAACTGTGAAATAAGTCATCCTATTACAAGGCTTATGGCAGAAATAGACTTGTTTGTGACTGACAGTATTTTAGACTTAAGGGTTTTTTGTTTTTTTTTTTTTTTTTTACTTTTTTCCATCCTTGTTTGCTTGGTTAATTTTCTCATCACTTCCAGCCTTGTTCACAGTAATTTCCCTGATTTTCATTCATTGGGTTTTAGAGGGAAGATGGGTGGGAACATAGGAAATGCCAAGAGGAAAAAAAATATATAGTTAAATCTGATTTTTTCAGTTAGAGATTTTTATGTACCATTTGTCATTGGTAAGATGGAAGTTAAAAGCATCCATTGGGATATATACTTCTGAATCTAGTCAGTTCTCAAAAACTTATAAAAACATTCATATTGAATGAGAATCACTGAGTAATGTTAATATTAGCTTAGATTGTAAACGCAAAGTATTTTTGAGCTTACAGCTTTGTGGAATTATAGAAAGTATATATTTTACACAATAGAGTAAAAAGACATTTGATTTTTTTATTGGGTTGGATGTTAAATTAGCAGTCTAGAATCACATCTTCTAACCCAAGTTCTAAAGTCTCCTTCCTCTCATTATTTCCTCTTGTTGGATTGATTCCTTTATCATTTTGAAATGTCCTTCTTTATTTCTCATTATAGGCTTTGTTTTAAACAAACATCTGTTTTGTCTGATGTAAGTATTGTTCCCCAGGCTTTTTTCCCATTTGCATCTGTGTGAAATATCCTTTTCCATCTCTTTACTTTTAGTCTTTGTGTTTTGATCTGATGTGGGTCTCTTGTAGGCAGCATATGTATGGGTATTTTTTTTTTTTATCCATTCAGCCACTGTGTGTCTTTTGGTTGAGTATTTACATTTATATTTAAAGTAATTATTGATAGGTATGAAGTTATTGCAATTATATTATTTCTGATTGTTTTTGTAGTTTATTTCTTATTCTCTTGTTCTCTTGTATGTTGATAACCCTTCTATAGTGTTATGTATAGATTTTTTTCTTTGTTTCTTCTATACCTCTTACAGATTTTTGGTTTGTGGTTGCCATGTGCTTGATGTATACTAAGCTATAACAGTCTTTTAGTTTGTTCTTTTTGTTCTTTAGATTTTGCATATAAGTGAAATCATATGCTATTTATCTTTCTCTGACTTATTTCACTCAGCATAATACCCTCTAGGTCCATCCATGTCATTACGAATGGTAGGATTTCATTTTTTTTATGGCTGAGTAATATTCCATTGTATATATGTACCATATATC